TGTGTGTGTGTGTGTGTGTGTGTGTGTGTGTGTGTGTGTGTGTGTGTAGACCAGTGATCCAGCAGTGTGTCTGGGTGGGCTCTTTGTTTTTTGATTTCTTCTCTTCTTCTCTCCGTTCCAATGCTTCCCCCCTCTCCTATGCAGCAAGGACAAGTTTGGAAGGTTTGCAAAGTTTATCACCTTCCACTGATGAAACCCCACCTCCTTCACCCTTCCTCACCTCCTTCCCTTCCTCCTCCCTCCCTCTTCCTCCTCCTCCTGCTCCTGGCTACCTGTACTAATCTGTTGGTCCTCTCCGTTGTGCCTCACTCCTCTTCATGTCTGATTCTGTAATGCTGAGAGTAAAGCCGGGCTCCATTCACTGTCAGTCGTACAAACCCTCAATGGAGATCCATCTGCTTGTGATTCAGCATTCACATGCACATTGTTTATTGTTTGGGGGGGAAAAAAGCTAGACAATTAGATTTGGGAATACCAGAAACAATTGAATATTACATTTAAATGTGCCTATTTGATCCACAGTAACAGCCTGAGCGACTACAGTGTGTCTCAAAGCCCCTAGAGTTGGTAGTGATAGTGTGGAAAATATTTATCAAAGAAATATATGTTTTGATGAGCGATAGAAATGATAGATATCATCTGTTTGTACTGTTGATTAGAATCCACCAGCTAATCGTCACTTAATCGTCCTGTTATCGTCCGATTGTGAAGAAAGTCTACTTCATAAATTAAGTGATTTTGCAGCAGTGATGGAAGAAGTATTGAGATACTTAAATACAAGTAACAATACCACAGTGTAAAAGTACTCTGTTACACCTGCACTTAAGTACAAAAGTATTAGCAATACAACCTACTTAAAGAGCCAAAAGTACTCATTATGCAGAATAGCCAATTTCATTTTATTATTCTAATATCATTATTGGTGCTTTTATGTTTAAATCACTATAATGCTGAAGTCGGTAAAGGTGGCGCTAATTTTAATGACTTGATGTACTGCTGGGTAGCTTAACGTACAATAATAAATTAGAATTTATGATTTTAATTGTTATCTATTTTGTATTAATAACATAAACCTGTAGAGTGTTTAGAAACTTAAGCTGTCAGATAAATGCCTCCAAAATATAGAAGTATAAAGTAGCAGAAAATGGAAAAACTCAAGTACGTCAAAATTGTATTTATTCGATTTTTATATTTTTTATATTCATATTATACTTTTTACTTTAAGTACTTGAGTAACTGTACTTCATGTGCATTCCACCACTTTGGCCGTTGATTTAGCGCTTCACATTTGCATCATGCCAACCAGCTCTCTCGGTTTGATCCTAAAAAGTTATTTTCAAAAAGTGCAATAGCGCTGACAACCGCTGGAGGATGAGTGAAGATCAGCCTCCTCGTCCAGGCAGCCGGCCAGCTGTGAGCCCGGTGTAGCGGCTCTCTAGTGGCTCTCTGCTCATCACAAGAAACCATCCATTCTGTGGAGCTCTTTCTTTCTCTCCTTGCCGCAGTTAATCCCTCCTTTTAAGGAACGAGAGAGCTCATCTAATGTGAGGAATGACAGACAGAAACTAATTCATCTCAGCGAGGACGCGTACGTGTTTTTGTCCCGTGGTTTTACGGAGACTCTGAAGGAATGCTATAACGGTGCCACGGGGGTGTTGAATTATTCCAGAGTAATTAGCGGCCGTGATTAGTTTTCAGATGGAGGTTTCTCCGGCACGGTGCTGTCTAGTCCAGAGTCCCTCTGCCGTATGTTACCGTGTGGGGACCCTTCTTTAAAGAAGCTCGGCTGTTAATTGGTACCCGGAGTGGAGAAACGATGGAGGAGAGACGGAGGTCTGTTCTGGTATCCAGGCAATCCAGCACTTCTGATTCTTGGCTTATTCCCATAACCCCGTCCCTCCATTCACCTCCATCCTTTCATCAGCCCTCCCCCCACCCCCTTCACACCCCACCCCAAAACCCAGCCAGCCAGCTTAATGCAGCAGCACTAATGGACGGTGCCAGAGAGAATGATTGTTAAATCGACATGCTTTTGTTCTGTGACGCTACGCAGCTACACGGCCACTTCTGTCCTTTCTTAAAGTAAAATAATTAATAGTAGAGGAGTAAGTAGTTTAAGCTAAAAGATGCTGCAGTGGTGTGGCTACATCTACAGAAAGAGAAGCTAGGTCTGTAGCGTATGCTAGTGTAGTAGAAAACACGGTCCTGCATGTTTTAGCCCATTAATTACAACTCATGTGTAACGTATTCTGCATTACTGCCAACCATTACCCAAAGCAAGGCATTGAATGTTTGTTAATGTGTGTTTCCCTTTATCTCTCTGTCGGTCATGTCACTGAACTAGTCTTTATTCTTTGTGGCTTTCAAGTGATTGTGGGACTTTCTGACATCTAATCAAACCAGGTGGTTAGAGCAATGTGATTTGGGTAGTTTCTTGGCTGTTGGTAGCTTGCCCACAAGTCTGGGATGTCGGAGCTTCCTACGATCATTTGAACGCACCATCAAGTACGTAAGTAAATCGGCAAAGTTCATTCAGAGCATAAGCATCAATAAATGAATGCAGAGAGCAGACGTTAAACAAATAAAAGCACAAATCATCAGCGCAGACCTGAGGGAGTTTTCAGACTCTACGCTTTAAGTTTGGGCTAAAACATGTAAATCACACTTGTAGTCCTTTATAGTCAGGATACCAAATGTTGTGTAATAACCGCACAGTGTTTCTTTACTCTGCAGTTCCCCGGCGTGAGTCAAAGGGTAATAACGACATTGTTCGATGTAGAGAGCAGTCTGTTGTGTGTAGGGTGAGGCTAATGGTGTGTTGTCATCAGAAGAACAAGGCTTGTGCTTTTTGCATGGATTAAACGGTCGCATCTTGATTCCTTGCTTCTCATTTTAACGTACAGTTAAAATCCAGTCTGGCCTCTCGCACACCTGAACAGAACTCCTTTGGCCGGTTGCTGAAACTCTGATCGGGTGTGAGAGAAGCGAGCGCAAGGAAAACAAGCTGAGGCTGAAGGTCCGGTCTGTGTCCGTGATGGGTATTGATGTCATGTTGGTGTTGTATGTTTTTCTGTGTCAAACACCCCCCCCCCCCCCGTCCAAGTGTTTAGTGTGTGAAACCCTGCAGTGGTGGGTGCGTTTAAGAGCCAACTTCACAAGAAGCCAGCATGCCCGTTTCTGGTGTTTTTAGCGCGTGAATTAGCTTCAGCTAACGGACTAAACAGACCACCTGAGCTGTTTTTTGGCTAAGCATCGAGCATGATACATATTTAGCTAGTTTTGTCCGCTGGGTAGACTATCTTTTCTTAAATTTTTTTGTTACCTCTCAGGATAATTTACCTATTTTCCCCCTGCACCATTTTGCATCCCGTGTAGAATTATACCAGATGCAAGGTGGCATCTTTAACTTGCATTTAAACCAGCGAAATCCTCAGTAGGGGCTCTGGTGTGATTGTGTAGTAGTCGCAGCTAATCTGTACGTTAAAAGGATGCTAAAAGTGTTAGTCCTCAGTGGCAGAAAGGCTATTTGTAACGCTGATCTCTGTGAGTTTAAGGTTTCCAACCTTTCCAGTTGTCAGCAGTGTGGTGCCTTTCACTCGGGACCACAGCTCAAAATGTGACTCGTATATAATCTCGTATAATTATGTATAAAACATATCACAATAACGTAAGAATCCCAACTGCTACACGTCCGTTGGCCCCCTTTGCTCGTGTGAACCAGCATGTGCTGCTGCTGTTTCCTGCTTTCATTTTGTACTGGCTGTCCATGCAAACTGAAATCCAGGTCTGTGGTTGTGGTGTCGGTTCATTAGCTGTGACGTGTTATATAGTGGGTAGAAACATTTATAGCATAGCGTCTCGTGTTTGGTAACTTTTTATTTTTGTAAATGTGTGCTTCCACTTTCTAGACTTAAACCACGAGGAAGTGAATCCTCAGGAGGGTCAAAGGCACTGACCTCTTCTAGGATTGTTCCTCCAACAAACTCTTTGTTTATGGCACATGCATGCACCACATGTTCCTCGCCCTTCACTACTACACTACCCATAATGCATGAGCGCTGCTGCTTCCTGCCAGAGTCGGGGCTGTCGGTCAGACGCCGACTAAGACGAGTAGATGAGAGTAATTAAGAAGAAAGAGGCAGATCTGTGGGTGTAGTGAAACGATAAAAACAGGGCTTTCTCTCTGTCTCTTTCTCTGTACTTAAGTTCTCTCCCTTTTTCTTTTTCCATTTTTTCCCCCTCTTCTGTTTCATTCAACCCCTTCTTCATCTTACCCGTCCATCACTCTGCCCGTCATGCAGTGGTACTAACCAGTGATGGCTCAGAGACTCTTCAGTCTCACTACTGGGACTCTCTCAGTGGTTCTCATCCTCTCTGTGTTGTGGAGAACGTCTGGCGAAGCGTAAAGTGAGGCTAAATTATTAGATGCTTAAATGTATTACTCCTAACTGGAGGCGATTACGATGAGGGCCAGCAGATACAACATGTAGAATAAGTATTACCTGTATTTAAACGATCATTTCAGTATTTATGCTCGGCTACCTGACGTCTCTCCACAGCTCCTCAGGTGAGAACCTCTGATCAGTTCAGGCTGGTTTATCCAAACATGAAAACCACAGACTTCCAAACTTCATTCAACTTTGGAATCTCCTTGTTGTCGTGCATCTAAATGGCAAATGTGACTTTCAAAGGACACTTGCATTCAAGTTTGTGCGTGTGTTCGTTTTCATGTTTTGAATACGGTCCGGAGAAACGTCACTAAATGTGAAAGTGGTGTCAATGTATTCATCCACCTGAACACCTTTCTCACATCCTGGACCAGATAAACCAGTTTTCACTGTGAGCACTCAATGTTTCCTCAGTGATGACCACACATCTAACATGCCTGACCGTGAGGAAGGAAAATGTTAGATTAATAGAAATAAACATGTTGAGATATATAGTACAGGTGTTTTTAGTAACAGCTGTGTACTCACCGTGGTTTGTGTTTAGTTTCTCCTCACCTCCTCCTCTCCTCTCCTTTCCAGGCGTGTGGCGACCCCAAGGCTAAGCCCTCCTATCTCGTTGATAAGAACTTGGAGTCTGCGGTTAAATTTATTGTCAGGAAGTTCCCCGCTGTGGAGACACGGAACAATAACGTAAGTGCGCCTGCATGTATGTGTTTCTGCGTTGAATGTCTAGACTGAAAGGTTTATTTTTCTGCACGTAGAACTTTGGAAAATTGTCACTTTTTGAGTGGAAAATGTAAAATCAACAGCAGCAATTATTAATCAGAATTATCATATTCAGAATACAGTGTGTAGTCGTAGATATACGTCACTGTTTGATAGTTTCACACCTGTACAACAAGACTGTTCAATACAGTCGTGTGTGTGTGTGTGTGTGTGTGTGTGTGTGTGTGTGTGTGTGTGCT